ATCTTTAGATTAATATAGGTTTATTGTAACAAAGTTTCTACTATGACATTATATTAATAAAAAAAAAAAAAAAAAAATAATAATAATAATTTTAACTGATGGTATATTCTTTTCACTATTCCAAAACATTATGCATAGTATAAAATTTTTAGTTTCTCCTCAGGTTAATCCATTAATAAAAACCCCAAATATTGGACTTTTTGTATCTTGGATTATTGCATATTTAGTTTTTATTGTAAAATCTCCTGATGCCAAGTTCTTAAAGTAGATGTTGTTAATAAATGTTGTGAAGTTTCTTCTGTTAAAAACTTATAAACAAGACGTATAGATTTCACAGTAGCATTTAAAGAAACTTGTCCTGTTTGAGAAATTTTAGTAGCAAACCAAACCATTCTTGGCGAATATGTTTTATTATTTGTTTTAAATAATTTAGTAATTTGTTTTTTAAATTCAATAGGAGAAACTTGCTTAGATTTTTGTACTAATGATTAAATAGTAGAAATTTAACTTTCTGTTTTATTTTGAAGATAATGATTTAAAATACCCAATGATTGTGTTTTACATGTTAATTTTTTGTTATTTTTTAATAATTTTTGTTTTTCAGACCACAATTAAGCATTTTCAGTTGTTAAATCTTGAGTTTTTTGATAATAACCTTTTGTAACATGCTTAATAGCCTTTTTTTGAAGATATACAAAAATTATATCCCTGCATGCTTTCCTTCAGAATAATGCATAATTTTAAATAGCTTTAAAGCATGAGACTTTTGTGGCTCTGTCATTTTCTGGATATTTTGAAATATATTTTCTTCCTTATTATGCTTTAATTTAGTAATAACATTTAGAGTACAATGAATAATTAGAAGAAATTCTGGTTCAATTTGAGCAATTAATTCATGAATTTTACAAATTTAATTATTTTCTTGATGTTTAGACCACATATATGCCATATAGTATTATTGTTTTCCAAGTTTTGGCATTATAATAAAATTTGCTTAAAAATGCAACCTATCACTCAATTTTAGAGATAGAGTTGTAAAATTTACATAAAACTCTTGTCAATAAAGTGTTTAATAATATAAAAGAGCGAATTTTCCTGAAAGTTTAAAATTTATCTCTGAAATAACAATTAACTATTAAATATTATAAATAAATAGTACTACACTTGCAATAAAAGTGAAACAATATATTATTTTTAAAAAAGCTCTCTTTTATTTTAAAGTTTACAATGAGTTATTTATATTTATATAAAATTTATATAAGTTAAATATGCCAAATATAAGTTTATAGCATTTAAAGTTTTATAAGAAAATATTAATAAGTAGACTAGTTTTCTTTGTACTATATAAAATCATCAAATAGTAATATTTATTATATACTCACTATAGATTTGATCTACATAATATCGCATACTCTATCGTAACATGTACTAGCTAACTGATCAAGTCTGATCAAAGTATTGTAAAATAATTTTTTTATGAGATGCAGTAAACGAAGTCACAAGGCATCTATTTGTCATGAGATTATGACCCACACCCATGACTTCAAATGGCTGTGAGTAGGGTAAGTAATTAATAGTTTGAGATAGTATATTTAATAGTGATTGTCTGAGTAGCAAGTATAAATATAGGGTAAGTATGATGTATTGTGTAATTAGTAGTAATTAAGGAGTTTGATGTATTATATAGCATTATTTTGTAAGTATAATATATTGTTCTGATTGATTAGTTGATGCCATTGTTCGATTTGTAAATTTGTTATAGTTTGGTTAAGTATAATTTGTTTGATCATCTGAAATCAGTATGAGGTCATGATAAATAGCTATTTAAAAGAGAAGAGTTTGAAAGTCATTTCTTTCTCTTTTGTCTTTGCTACGAGCTTGATAAAAGTCTAGCTTTGTCATTATCAATGTAGTTAACAGATAGCTACAATAAATTGTTTTCAAATAAATAGTTTTTGAACAAAGAGTACAGTTCTCAATATGAAGGATAGTAGTGACTTACAAGAAATATTGCTGACAATATTACTGATAAACAGTAGTTTAGAAGAGAGCTCTGAAAAAGCTTTGCAACAAGCCTTGAGAAGCAGTATGGATCATTTGTTAGCAGAGGCGTTAAAGATATTGTGTAAAAGAGAAGGGTTATCAGAGGTGGGCATGAAGAAGGAGTTAGTGAAGAGGTTGTCAAAAAAAATATTGAATAAGGCAAAAGAGAAAGATAGAGTAGAAGAAGTTAGTCAAAATAGAAAATCAGGATATAGTAGAATTGATACTGATTTCAATTTTGGGATTCAAGAAGGTTACTCTGATAGAAAATCTGAAACAAGTGAGGGAAATATGGAAGCCTGAGGCTTTTCAATGCCTGATATGCAATACTTTATATTGGAAAGAGCTTTGGAAAAGACAGTTTAAGCAATGATAGAGAAAGTTGTTAGAGAAATCAAAAGAACAGTGCAACCTTATCGGGGTGCTGAAGAAAGTAAGTACTAGCCAAAGAAGAAGATGAATAAACTGAGAGATCAATTTGAGTATGATGAGTGGTGCAAAGTAGTGAAAGTTCTGGATAATGTGATAGTAAGTAAGGATTGGGATTGGGTTATGAAAGCATAAGAGGTGGTGGCAACAAGGACATTTATGCTGAGAGTAGCTAAAAGAGAAGGTTGGAGTGTGGTGGCAGAAATTAGAGATTCATCAGATAATGATCCAATGGATGCATATTTTCAAGATAAGTTAGCAAGTGCTAAGTTGTTAGCAAAGAATAAGCAAACGAAGATAAAAGAAAGTTCTAGTCCTTCAGGTTTATTGTATACTAGCATACCGGTTGGGTTTGGGGTATAGCTTCAAACCAAGCAGTGCAATAGCCAATGTTTCAGCAACCAGTTCAGTAGCCAGTTCAACAGCCAATTCAACATCAGTTTCAGCTAAGTATAGGTGTATTTTAGCAAATGCAACCAGTCCAGCCAGGCTTTGCTTCAACACGGGTTCAGTTTATAGAAACATAGTGCCAAGTTTAAATTCTTATCAACAGTCATATGGAAATCAAGGGAGCTTCAAACCATACAACAACAATAGGTTTACTAGGCAAGGTAGAAATCCAGAAATTGTTTGCTTTATTTGTGAAGAAAAAGGTCATATAGCCTGGAACTAACCTTAGAAAAAATCAAGTTAGCCCTTTCAGAGAGCAGAGTTAGGAGGTGAAAAGAGTTGACCGCACTTAGGGGCAAAGAATACAGGAGGAATGGAAGGTAGTAGGAAGAATTTATTTGGAAGCTTCAGTTGGTTACTAGAGAAAGGTTATAAGACTGGCAGTATTAGAGATGTTTTGTTTGGAAAGCAGAGTGCCGATTTTTTCAAGAGGAGTGAAATCATTAGCACAAATAGAAGTGTCTAGGCAACGTGAGTTTACAATAGTCGAGTTGGAATGGGTAAAACAAGAGTTGAAAAGATTAATACAAATGGAAGTGATAAAGTTAATACATATAGGGAAGAAGAGGCCAAGTATATTGCTAGAAGTAAGTCTAGTATTTTTGGTGCCAAAGGCAGTGCCAAAGAAGTTTCGTATGGTGATGAATTTGCAAAGGTTAAATCAACTATTGCCAGAAAAGTTATTTCAGTTCAAAGGGTTGGGGTTTCTTGAAATCGATCAGGAGAAATTGGTGGTTAATGGTATTCAATCTGAGAGATGGATACTACCATGTGTTGATGGATGACTAGACACAGCATTTTCTAGGGTTTTGGGTAAAAAAAAGGTGGTTTTACTATATAGTACTGCCGTTCGGACTATCCCAGTCACCTTGGGTGTTTTCAAAGATAATGAAAACATTAATAGGCTCGTGAAGATCATGAGGAATATACTGTAAGAATTATATCGATGATGTGTAGATAGAGTGTTTATCCAAAGAGGAGCTACTGCATTTGAGAGAAGAGATAATAAAGGTCGATTTGGAAGGCTGTGGTTTGGTAAGAGCATTGGACAAGGGATATTGGGAGCCAACAAGAAGAGTGAAGATTTACTAGTCAATAGTAGATACAGTAAATAGGGTAATCAAGGTACTAGAGAAAAAGATTAAGAAAATGCAGAAGGAGTTAGAAGTAGTGGAGAAGTTGCGGGTAATCTTAGCAAGAAGATTAGCATCGTGGCAGGAAGAGTTCAAAGTTTTGTACAGGCATTTCTACTAGCTCAAGTAAAGTGTATAAAGTTTTATACTTTGATAGATGCAGCAAATCAAAATATTTGGAAATGGGACAAGAATATCCAATTGACAAACAGAGTGTTAGAGGATATAAGATGGCTAAAAAAAAATTTGAAGAGATGGAATAGCAAACTGGCATGAAAACCAGTCCAAATAAAGGCTGTGTTTGTGGATGCATCAACGATAGGATAATATGGAGTATATATGGGAAACAAAGCAATAGGAAATTGGCCAAAGCAATTTGAATCTACAGAAATAATACAGCTGGAAAGTTTGGTGGCATTAAGAGTTCTAGAATCATTCATAGATCTTCTAAAGCATTCATGGATAACATTGTTTATAGACAGTAAGGTAGCTTTAAGAACTGTAGTGTATAGAAGAAGTTGCCTGTGGCAAAAAGACATTGCAAGGTTTCTATGGGAGTTTTGTGCAATGAACAATGTATGGATTTATGAAGTCAGATGGGTCCCAAGTAAGATAAATCTAGCAGATTATCTAACAAGAGTATAGGACTCAGGTGATTAGCAATTAGACAATCAGGTGTTTATAGAATTAAAAGAAAATTGGGGACCAATTACAGTGGATCGGTTGACGGATCATTTGAACACAAAAAAGAAGCATTTTAATAATTACTATTTTTGCCAAAATTCTGAAGTAGTTGATTGCTTTACTCAAAACTGGGCAGCAGAGAGAAATTACACATGCCCTTCTTTTGGGTTGGTATATCGAGTGTTAACACACAGCCAAGAATGCAAAACAATGGTGTTATTAATTCTTCCAGCCTAGGTTTCAGCTCTGTGGTGGCCAATGATTCTAGAAACACCAAAGGAGGTAATAAAGTTACCACCAGCTTCAGAAGTTATCATTCTGGAACTGTTAGGTTAAGTAGAACTATACAAGAATCTGGCTTGGAAGTTGTTGGCAGTGAAGATAGAATGGTAGAGGTGTTGTTAAGATGGGCAAATGATTTGGCTTTCCAAGCGATTAATAGGAGTTATAGAAAAAGGCTGGAAAGAGCACAACAGCTTTTTAAAGTTTTTGTTACTGGGTTGAAGAAATAGCATGCCCAGCAAGTGTCGATTTGGTTAAGGCATTCTTGGGATGGTTAGAATTAGCAGGTTTGTCAGCACAGGTACAAGACTTTCTGGGAGCAATAGCTAGGTTGCATAGAGAAAGAGGGTTGAAGAGCCCAACAGAAGATTTTAGAATAAAGAAGGTAGTAAGGGGCATGAGGCTATTAAGAGCTAAGGAGCATAGTGCTGAATGGCCAAGAGATCCATTCCCTTTAGAAGCTTTGAAATGGTATCACGATAATCCACCTGAGAAAGTGAATCCAGTAATTTGGTATAGAGATTTAGCATTAATAGCAATTGGGTTTCAGGCAATGAGGAGGCCAGGTGAGTTGTGTAAATTAAGATTGAAAGATGTTAAGAAAAATCAGGATTGGTTTGGTTGAGAGTAAGAAAGGCGAAAAATGATCTGTTCGCTAATGGAAGATTTGTATCAATAGAGCCATCAGAGAGTAGAATTTTCCCAGTGGGATTGTTAGAAAAGTATCTAAGAGTGAGACCAAGCACATCAGTAGAAGAGCCGTTGTTTTTGGCAAAGAAAGGAGGATAAATGTTGGTATCAGCAGTTTCGGCAGTAGTGAAACGAATAGTAGAGCATGTGGGTAGTAGAGGTCATTTTACAGCCCATAGTTTGAGAATAGGTGGGGCAACAGCAGCAATGAGAGAAGGAATGTCACTAACTCAGATTAGGGCTATTGGTGGTTGGGATTCAAAAGCGGTGATGCTATATTTGAGAGCAGTAGAAACAACAA